ACCTTAAAATCCTATATTTGAACTAATTTATATATAACAAAATGAATAATGTCTTCCGAAAGAGTCCACTTTTTTTGCAATACAATATCAACTACTCTTATATTATTCAGAATATATTTTCTGTGTTCACATTAGGACAGTGATGCTTCTGGTGGTATTGCTCAATCACCAAAGATTAGGAAGGCAAGCCCCCTTTTCAATGGGCTTCAAGGTCTCCCCATCTTACGCCTCTTAACTTTATTCTGTAGAATTATTTAGAGGATTAAGTTCATAAATGTTATTTTCAAATTGACGCTTTATTGTACCTAGTGTGTAACTCGATAGGTTAAGAAATTTTTGAGTAGTCAAGAATAACTAGCTGTCATTTCTAAGTGATGGTCCCCTTATTTATCTTTAAAATTGTGTTCTTCAGGGCTTACAACTCTTCAAAACTCTACAGAGAATTGAGGCTGAGAGGTGGTGTAGTTCACAATAAGCAGTTGAAGATTCTTCCCCAAGAACAAGTGGTATCTACTCTTCATGGAGTCTGGAATTTGTCCAGTGATCAAGGCAGTTTGGGAACCTTCACGGTATCCAATGTAAGGTTCGTCTGGTTCGCAGACGTGAATGAAGGTTTCAACATATCTTTGCCGTACTTGCAAATAGAAAGTGTGAGTTAGTTTGAAATGGGGTTTTATATATATTGGGACGTCAACAATAACAATTATTCAAACATCAAGATTGATCTAGTCTCCATTTATATGAGTGTGGTCATAGTTCATGAAAATTTTCCTAGGATGCCTAGCAAAGGACACATTTTCCAGATGTGCTACGAATCGCAAGTTGAAAGGTATCTGTATTCTGTATCTGTAGAGTAGGGAGGGTGAGTGTAGGCCCACAGCACTTAGACCACATGTGACTCATTGCACATCCTCCCAAGGAGTTGTCCTCTTAGGTCATCGTCCATCCTGCCCTTTTCAGGAAGGTGGACAGGTCTCTGGGAGACATCTCCTTTATATCAGCAGGTGTAGGCCAAGACTCGCCGAACACACACTCTCTTATTTACGATAACTCCGAACATTCGCATAGGACATGCCTGACAGTTTCATCTTCCTGTTCACACATCCTGCATAGAGGTGTGTCCACTAGCCCCATATTGTGGAGGTGTTTCCTTAATTGACAGTGGCCAGTCAGAAATGCTACTGTTGAGCGTAGATTTTTCTTGGTAATCACCAGATATTTCTTCAGCGCCAGCTTCCCAGAATCGGCCAGGGTGATCCTGGCATTCTTCAATTTCATCCAATATCTTTAGGGATTGAGCATGGGTGTGACGTTTGGCTAGTTCCGTAAATGTCGAAGTCATGAATTTTCAGTCCAGCCGATTCCTTGCTAAAGAGTCGGCAATGTGATTACCTTTACTCCTGTCGTGCCCTTTAACCCACCTCAGTTTCTTTTATGGCTATTGAGATACCAGCCAGTTCTGTTCAAACCACGCTGATATTTTTTTCCATTCCCTACTCAATCCTTAGGCTCACTAATCTGGAGTACGTTAATAGGTAATATCCAGTTGATCCTCGACTCGCACAAATTTCGAATTTTGAGGGTGGTCGTTCCTAAAGAAGTAACAGCTGGTTAAAGAAAAAACAGATTTTGAACAGATTATAGAGTGTCTTATACAGGGTTATCCAAAAGTCCAGATATGATTGAACTATTGAATCCCAAACTACCAGAAGTAGATTTATTCCTAGTAACTTTGGAATTGATCGTGATCATAATCTTGCAAATTATTTAATGTTCAGAGTAAGTTTTTGAAATGGAAAACCGTATTTGTCCTTTCGAGAGTAAAAGGAGCGGGAAGAAAAACGGTTGAAGGTCAAATATTCAATATAGTAGAGT